TTATATACAGGTTCCTCAAGAGCGCAATTAAATGCTCTGGAATAGTCATTCTCTGAAATGTTGTCCATAGGTTGTCATGATCCACACAGTCGAAAGCCTTTGCATAGTTAGCAAAGCATAGGAAAACATCTTTCTGATATTCTCTGCTTTCAGCCAAGATCCATCTGATGTCAGCAGTGATACCCCATGTTCCACTTCCTCTGCTGAATCTGGCTTGAACCTGTGGAGTTCTCTGTCAATGTGCAGTTGCAGCTGTTTTTGAATTATGTTTAGCAAAATTTTGCTTGCATGGTATATGAATGATATTGTCTCATGATTTCAGCTTTCCATTGGCTCACCTCTCTTTGGAATGGGCACAAATATGGATCTCATTTAGTCAGTTGACCATGTAGTTGTCTTCCAAATTTTTTGGTATGGATGAGTGAGGCCCTCCAGTTCTGCATCAGTTTGTTGAAAGATTTCAATTTGTATTTCTTCAAATCCCAGAGCCTTGTTCTTTTCTAATGCCTTCAATGCTCGATTACATACACTAAAAGGGGATTTAGGTATATCCCAGAAGTAAAAGGCTTTATTTTAAGCCAGTGTATACAGTAAGGGGCTCAGGTTCCCACCTGAGCCCTACTCAGAACTGCTAATAGAGCAGGAGATTTGTATTTAAAGGAAAGTCCTGCATAAAGAAAAATGACTGGCAATTTTCATTTCAATCAAGCAGTTAGACATTGAATGCATTGAAGCAGGAACATCATAAGAATGTTCATTCCCATTTTAGGGCTGAAATGCTCACTGGTGACCACCTGGTCCACTTGATGAGTATAAGTTAGGGAGAATGCAGAAATGAGTTGAGACAAGAAGGATGGCTGGTATGAAGTTTAGGGAGCTGTGTTGATTCCTGAGCCTACGGGCAGGAGGGCTAGGTCTGAGGAATGAGTGAAGGGGCCAACTGATCTGATGCACAGGGAGGAGTGTGGGTATTCCTATGTTTGCAGCTTATACCCATTTGACTTTGCAAGGCTGGTTAGGGATGAATTGACCAAAACCCAAACAAATGAAGAAAGGTTTGATACTGTAAACTGGTGTAAATTGCTGCACTTTAATGACTTGCTCTGAATTGTGCATTGCGTATGAATGTAGAGTCCCAAACTTCCAACAGAAACATAAGATTCTTCATATCAAGGGACAAGCATGCTGGTCTCCAGAGTACTCGGTTGTTTTTTGTAGTTAAGTGCCGTCGAGTCAGTTCTAACCCATAGCGACCCTATATAGGGTTTCTGAGGAGCAGCTAATGAGCTTGAACCACCGACCTTGCAGTTCAAACGGCTTTGCAGTCTGACACATTAACCCACAGCGCCACACCAGGACTGGGTTAGGGATGGGCAAATTAAATAAATTAAATATTGGATATCTCTGAAGTGAGTGAGAGAAAGGCATGAAGTGGCTGACTTACAAGTTTTCATGGATGTAATTATAATTAAAATCATATGGGGAAAGTGAATCCATCCTGTACTAACCGAAAAATGTCTAGAAGAGCCAGGGGTGGCCTGTGATGTAATAAATTTATCTAAATTGTCTTCTAACTGTAGTTTATAGCTCCTACCAAGCATCATTTCTGCCCTGCTGGTTCTGGGGAAGAGAAAGTGGGAGAAGATAACTGATAGGATGCCGTGATTCAGATGTGGATGCCAATGAGTTCATTGTAATTGTAAAAACTTGAAACTCTAGCATAGGTATAAAATGATCTGTCTCAGAAGCAGGAAACGAGATTCTACTTCAAGAAGAAAGAAGCAGGGGTGGAGAGTGTCCTGTTGGACTCTGAGATCCCTGCTCATCGAACCTCTCCAACCCAAGGAGAGAAAGCTGTGGCACCAGAGCAGTGGGCTTCCTAGTCACCAAAGCAAGGGAAGTTGCATCACTTAGGGCAGGAGGATTGCTTCACAGTCGGGTGCCTCCAGACTCTTAAATGGGGGAGCTGGGTTTGCTGATCCACAGAACTAGAACCAAGTGATTTTAGGCTGAGGCTTATGGTGCACACTTGTCTTATGGGCATTTTTGTTTCAGCAGCTAACTGAAACAAAAGTGTCCTGAGAGCATTCTGATCCTGTATTATAATCTGTTAGCTTCACTAATAAACCCAATAACTGTGAATATTGTTTCAGAATTCTTTGTGGCCATTGGAATTGATTATAAAAGAGAAGCAGAGAGTATGTTAGAGGGATTTCTGTTGCCTTTTTTTTTTTTTCACAGTAATGTAAGTAAATTACTTAAATCATTGAGTAATAAAAAAGTGCATAATCAATGGTCATATTAAAGTCACAGGCAACAGAAACTCTGTTTAACTAGATTAAATGAATAGAGGAATTTCTGGACTCATGGCAGTATACCGTGGATCTGGTACTGGACATGACTAGACCCCAGGAACTTGAACCTAAACTCTATTAGATTTCTTTCTTTGTCTTTTGTCTGTTTCTCTTTCTGTACAGGCTTCCTCCAGGTGGATAGTTTTCTTAAAAGCCTTTTAAATTACCTTTAATATAAGCCCAAAACACCTTGCTATGAAAGTTGTCAGTAACCTGGATTTGTAAGCATTATCTCATAAACTGTAAATCTCATAAATGCTTATCAAAGAATATAAGTAATTGAACCAAGATAAATAAGAATAGAAATCACAAGCCTTAGTCTTCTTATTTTTATTATAAAAAAGTAATGTGATACAATTGGTACAGATTTTGGAAAGTACAATTACTGTATTGTTGGTGATCTTTCACCTGCCTAAATTTTATAAGTCAACCTCAACTGTTATTTCAAAGTTAAGAAGATCGTTGTGTTTGTGTTCAAACATGATTAATGGCAGTTCACTTAGGCCTTTTCTGGTTGGTCTATGTAAATTGCCTTCTTGCTCTCCAAGCTCTATGCTCTTGTTGTTCTTTCATTTCACAACACTAATCACAGTTGTAATCACACATTTCTGACTATGATTGTGTTAACATGTTTTCCTTCTATTAAGCTGTGAGTTCCAGTGGTTGAGGACATGTCTTTACAGTATCTTTATTTATAATACTTAGCATAATACCCAGCATAAAAGTATTCTGTAAATGTTGAATGAATGAAAGAACAATGCCAACCCATTCAGTTCAGTCCTATGAATAGTGAACTCACATGTGCTCTACCTTATGTTGCAATGGGTGGCTGGTGACAGGAATTGAATTCCAAGGGAGTGAAGAATTATTACATGTCATTGAGTCAGTTCCAACTCATAGCGACCCTTATAGGGTTTCAAGGAGTGCCTGTTGGGCTTGAACCACTGACCTTGATGTAAGAAGTCCAGTTCAGAGCTTCTTTTATGGTGCCACAGAATATTAAAGGGAACTATCCAAGATGTTCTGGATTGGGATGATCCAAATGCTTAAACCCAAGACAAAGTTTTCTAAATAAGGACTAAGCAAAATATTTGAGGCACAAGGGCAAAAACAACATTCAAGGACTCAGGTATAGCACCAAAGAGATAAGGTACAAATGAGAGCAGGTCACAAACCTTGAGTTTAGAGATATATGTGAGGTTGGTAACAGGTATGAAAATAGGTTCAGTTAAGCATCTGTCTACATAGTGGTTATGTGTTGGTCTGCTAACCTCAAAATCAGCAGTTCAAAACTGGACAAAGATGAGGTTTTCTACCATAAAGATTTACAGCCTTGGAAACCCTATACCGGGCTGCCATGAGTTGGAACTAACTCCATGGTGCATAACCACCTCCACCACCACCCTTACATGGGAATTTTAATTTTGTGGGTTGCATTGATGTTTTTACAGTAGCATCCTGTCTTCATCTTTATGCATAAAATGTTCAATAGCACATATTAAATTGTACTTTTTAAAGTAATAATGCTTTCACATGTGAAAAGGTTAATTAGCCTCTCTGATGGGATCAACCAGTGAGATGTTTCACAGTTTGAATTGAGGATGATTTTTTAAAGATCCCCTTAAGTCCTCAGATATTTATATTTCTAAGCAGGAGGTCTTTCTCAAACATGAGTATTTTACATGGTGGATTTGAACTTTTTAGCAAATCAATAAACAATCACTGTGACTTCATGAATTCCAAGGCTATATAAAGCCATGATCTTTGCAAATGGCACCCAATATTAACTGTTACCTATTTTTGTCCTTCTCCAAGTTAGTACTCTCACCAACATTCAAATTTTATTACCCTACCCACTGTTTTTACTATAGTCAATTATGCTATAAAAGTTATAACCTAAGCACACATTTTTCAGAGAGCTGTGATTGTATTTAAAATACTATATTTATCAAAGCTGTGCCTTTTAAATTTTTATTAGAAACCTAATTAAATATGCAGCAAGACTTTGGGTTATCATACTGAATATATAACCAAAATAATTTTAAAGTAAGCCTTATAAATGGTATTTTATACTAACATATCTATTTTCTATTTTACTACAGTCTGTCTATGGTTTACAAAATGATATTAGAAGCCACAGCCCTACCCATACGCCCACACCAGAAACTAAGCCTCCAACAGAAGATGAATTACACCAACAGGCAGGTCAACCTTTAAAATGATTTGTTGATAAAGGTTTACAGAGTAACTACTATCAAGACCATATGGTAAACATTAATAGTAGACATTTAAAAGTTTACTTGTTTATTGGTTTACTGTTTTTCATGAAGCTTTATAGTTACTACGTAACAAAATTATCTGTTAAAAAATATAGCCACATATGGCAGTGGTTTTCAAAGCTCTTCAATCTTCAATTCCCAAATCTTTTCTCTCTAACCAAATTTTAAAAAACACATCTCCATTACTAATGATTGTTTTGTATGTGTGGACTTTGTACTAAAGAAAGAGAAGACAAGAAATTGGAGACATTGATTCACACATTTCCCACATCCAATGATATGACATCTTTTCCCAAACAACCTTCACTCTTATTTCTCAACTTCTGAGCGCCTTACATCTCTTGAAACTTTTCCTTAATGGCATTGATAGATACTCATGGTACATACTAATTCTCTTTATTCCCATTGATCAATAATTTTAATTCTAAGTAGCATTTTAAAACTAAGATTAGTGTGTTTTATATATATTTAAAAAGTGAAATCTCCAGTTTGGTTAAATCATGGAGCTCTGCAACCTTTGATGCTTATCTTCTAATATTTCTTTGTAATGTAATTTAAAAACAGTATATTATATACTCTACAGGTATACTTATTTTCTGAATAAAATATTTGGAAGAAAATTATTTTTGTATTTGAAATAAAATGTTTAAATTTTTAAATTTTTTAAAAGTTACATTTTATCTAAGTAGGCAATATGTTCAAACTTATTGCTTTTGTAAAGTAATATTGGTCATCTTTTACTCAATCAGATTTTAAGTTTTGGTAATACTTTTAAAGCCCTCTTTATTGTTGTTGTTTAAATATTTTTTACTGATTTTTGAATTTTTAATGACTTAGGGCATACCTTTGTTCATATTTGTCCTGCTTGTCAAAATTTAGAGTTGAAAGTTGTAAGAATGTCATTATTTGTGTAACTTGTATAATCTTTTTCAGATAAAATATTGGCAAGTACAGTTAGATAGACATCGGTTAAAAATGTCAAAAGTTGCTGATAGGTAAGTATTTCCAAATATCAATATAAACACTAAATTTCATATGGCAATGATATGTCAAAAGTGGTACGAGAGATGTAGGCAGAAAAGCAGAGACAAATAGTTAGAGCCCTCTAAGAAATGTCTTTTTAAGAATTTTATAACAAAGAAACCTTTTGTAGCATGCCAGAATGATCCTTGTCTTAACTTCCTAGAGGTACCTTTCTTGTGTAGCCTGAATCAAATATAGAGGCTATTTCCATGGAGATGAACATTTTCAATCCTGGTGGAAGAAATAAAACTTTCTGTTTACAAGTTACTTTTTTTTTTACTTTTTATTGTGAATTGAGTGAAGGTACAGAAAAGATCATCAGTTTTACATTCAGCAAATTATACTCTTGGTTTCATCTCATTGATTGCAATCTCCTCCATGTAATAAGTCATACCACTTCCATCCTGTGGTTCCTGTTTCTATTATATCCACTTTCCCATCTCTTCTCAACTTTGTCCTTAGGTAAAATAATGCCATCTTGATTATTAATGATTGACCATTTCATGGTGAGCATACCTTTACTAGTGTTGCTGTCGCCCCTATATGCCTATCTACTTAGCTTGGCTGAAAATTAGGCCACTAGGGTAAGTTGCTTTCCATTCCTGAAGGGTGGACGAGGGCCATAGTCTCATGTTCCTCCAGTCTCTTTCTGACCAGTAATCCAGTCTTTTTTCATACTTTTGAGTTAATGTGTACCACATTTTCTCCCACTCTATCTGGGACAACCTTTTGTGATCCCATTCAGAGCAGTTGGTACTGGTAGCTGGGCACCATCTAGTTTTTCTGGTCTGAGTCATGAAGATTGATGTTCACATGTTCCATTAGTCCATTGGGTTAAATGATTCCAAGGATCTTCAGTTCTCATCCGTCTACTTTCTTCTGCACATTGGGAGACCAATAGTTGCACCTTAGATGGCCGTTCATAAGCTTTTAAGATCCCAGATAGCACTCACCAAAGTAGGATGTAAAACATTGTCTTTGTGGACTGTGTTATGCCTATTGACTATGGTGTCCCCTGAGACCTGTGGTCCTGAGCCCCCAGGTCCAGCAACTCATTGTCTAAAGATGTTTGATACTTCCTAGGAAGTCTTCATCATTTTGCCTGCTGTGTACCCCACCACATTCATAAGTGTGTTTGCAGAAAGGGTGTTTGCAATCCAATGCTTATCCTATGGAGCATCTGTACTCTATAAGGTTGCATATATAACAATATTTACTTCTATCCTCTTTAGCCCTTGCATACTTTGCTGTATCCTCACCTGTCTTCATCATACTTCTGCCAGCATCCCTCATTTATCCTAACTAATGTGTCTATCCTCTTACCAGTGAATTACTCTCCCTTTCTTTCTACCCCTGGTAATCATCAAAGAATGTTTCTTTTAGCATGACAATACCCATGTACCAAAAAAACCACACAAAAAAAAACTCATATCGTTGTGAGTGTACCTTCCTCCCATACCCACTTAGCCTGTGTATATGTCCATCTATCTACCTTCTGAACACTGTTGGTCCAATGTTGTATGTTGTTATTGTTGCTGTTAAGTGCCATCATGTTGGTTCTGACTTGTAGGGTTTCTGAGGCTTTAAAAAATATGTATTTGTGAGAGCGTAAAGCCTCATCTTTCTCCTTTGAAGCAGCTGCTGGATTCAAACCACAGACCTTGTGGTTCAAAGTCCAGTGCTTATCCTGTGGAGCCACTGTGCTCTATTAGGTTGAGTATATAACACTATTTACCTCTGTCCCCTTTAGTTTTTACATACCTTCCTGTGGTTGCACCAGTCTTCATCATACTTCTTCCACCCTCCCTCTTCTTTTATATTGCCCTCCCCATTACCTGAATGAATGTGTCTACTCTCTAGCCAGTGAATAAATCTCTTTTCCTTTCCATACCTGGTAACCATCAAAGAATGTTTCTTTTAGCAAGAAAAACATTTCTTGAGTTTTTACAAAAGTGGTCTCATATAATATTTGTCCTTTTGTAATAAACTAATTTCATTCAGCATAATGTCCTCCACATTCATCCATGTTATGAGGTGTTTCACAGATTTATCTTTATTATTTATCATTGCATTGTTGTTGTTGTTGTTAAGTGCCGTTGAGTCGGTTCCGACCCATAGCGACCCTGAACAGGGTTTCCGAGGGTGTAAATCCTTACGGG